CGGGGGCCCAGGTAGAAGAGCAGGACCGCGAAGCGCAGCGTTCCCAGCGACCGGCCAACTTCCGCCTGGAAAACCAGCTTGAACCAGAGCTGCGCCGGGGCTTCCCACCGCACTGCAAGGGAGAACCAGAGGCCTGAAATCCCTGTTGGCTCCGGGGCTGAGGGGTGGGGAACGGGCTTTGGGACCAAGCACCAGCCCGTGTGATGGCCACAGCATCCGAGACAGGAGCTGATGGGGTGGGGGGACAGCGCAACCAACTCTGTGGCTAAAAAAAACCCCCGTTCCCAGTTTCAGGACGTATCAGCAGGGGTTGCCTCGCTCCCGAGTGACTCTGGCAGATTTTCATGGGCAGATCCCCATGGAAAGCTCTTCTCCATGTCTGGTTGCTTGAGGACATTGTGGCCGTCGGTGGCCAGGAGCGCTGCCTGGGGAAGAGCCACTTCCCAGTTGCCCGGCACCGGCAAGTTCAGCCGAAAATCCAAACTCTGGGAGGGGAGGAGGAGATTTCAAGAAGAGAGAAACCAGTGTGATCCTTTCACCACACAGGAGGCTGGATTAAACCCGAGGCTGTGCTTTCCCTCAGCACAGCACTTACCACTGAGGCAGGACACAGGAATGTGCCTGGTTTTGGTATAAGGCTGAAGCTACACAAGCCAGCCCAGGGCCCCTCAGCAACACCCAGCATGAGAGATGAGCTGGGGACACACCACAGTAGGAGCAGGCAGGGCCGTGTCTCCGACCCTCTCCTCTCTTTTCCCAATCAGACAGAGTTGGCATGGGGTCCTAACCTGCATGAGAAACACTTGTGATCCCGAAAGCATAGAAGCCACCAAGACTATGGCCCCTGGGCATTAGTGACAGGCAGGGACACAAACCATCATCACTACTGAAGCTTCTTAAAAAGGGACCCAGGAAGACATAGAATCACAGAATGGTTTGGGTTAGAAAGGACCTTAAAGATCATCTCCTTCCACCACACCCGCCACCACAAGCAGGGGCACCTTTCACTAGACATGTTACTGTATTCACTGCTTTTAAAAGGAACCCAACCCCGCACATTTAACTTAGAATCATAGAACAATTAGGGTTGGAAAGGACCTTAAGATCATCGAGCTCCAACCGCCCTGCCATGGGCAGGGACACCTCGCACTAAACCCTGTCACCCAAAAATCTGGTGTTTAAATCCCTGATTTTGGGCAAGAAAACAGCATCAGCCTCCCCGAGCCCCGTGCTCAGCCTCAGTGCAGGGATCTCCCACCAACCTTCCTCCAGATGCAGCACGAGGAAGCGATCCTGCCCCGGCTCCAGCACGTGCGCATGGATGTGCTTCAGGGGATGGAGAGCAGCACCCGCCTCCGTGCCCGGGCACAGCCCGAAGGTCTCCAGAGAGCTTTGGTCCCACCTGGTGCGTTGTCTCAGGAGCTTGATGAAGCTGCTTTCATAGTGGGTGAGAACCCCCACCACTTCGAGGTGACCTGGGGTCAGCCCGTCCTGATCCATTGTCACCCTGCACACGGGCCCCTCCAGCCCCCCGAGCGGCCATGGATGCAGGCTGGAGCTGGTGCCCCCAACCTCAGACACCCCCTGGAGGCATCTTGTTCCTGGGTCAGGCTTTGAAAAGGGGCGCGCAGCAGCAGCCAGCCTCGGTCTCCCCAGCGAGCTGGGTCTCGCTCTTTCCTGGAAACTTGCATTTTCTCTCTTTCTCTCCTCTGCTCCAGGTCCCAGCTCCTCCGGCAGACCCAGCTCTACCTGGTCAACTGGGGAAATCTTTTCTCCTGTGCTCCCCGTTCTTGGAAGTGCTGCAGAGGGAAGCAATAGCACCAGGCACAACCAGAGCACCCTCAGAGCACCCTTCATGGTCCCGCTTCAGCTACTCCCAGTGCAGCAGGAGCCGCTCACACACATCCAGAACACGGGCAGGAGGGGAGGACGGCGTCTCCCTTTTAAAAACCGGTGGCCTTGAGTTGACAATGCACAACACACCTCCCCTGAGAAACTCAAAGGCCGTCGTGCTGGAGAGGAGGGAGGGATGCTTCCAAGAAACTTTTTTGTTCTATTTTTGGGTTTGCATCCAGTATTGGAAACATAAACAAAAAAAGTAAAGCTGTTTCTCTTACTTGTAGGGTTGCATGTCCTTGACTTCAGATGTTTTCTAAAGGAGGATGGATGTCTAGACCTGGATCTTCATGGGGACAGGCACACACTATTCCCATCAGCAGTGAAACACCAGGAGGGAAGAATTAAGGAGGAGGAGGGGGACAGTAACAGAGAACAGGCAGAAACTAAGTACATGTGTGGAAAGTGTTCTCCTCTCTTTGCTGGTACCTCACATGCTGCAGGTTAGAGGCTGCCCAGGCTGCTTCAGCCTCTGAAGGAGAATCTCACAGGGTGCAGCAGCACCCTGATGACTTTGAACACTTAAGAGTTGACTTAGAAAGTCTCACAACAAACCTCTTGTACAGACTTCTCCCTCTGTGAGATGCCAATGCTCACCTTAACAGTTGGGGTTACACACACCACCTACCCAACCCACCCCAGTGAAACATGTCCCCCCCAAGGTATCTCCTTTTTTTGGCAGCTGAGAGCAGGGGGAAATGGACGTGCCAGAAAGTTCCAACACACGTTCAGACCCTCCTCTGGGTTCCCAAGACTTTGCAGTTCAGAGCTCAGCACATCATAAACAGACCAGGCAGCTGAACCAGAGCGGGACAAAGGGCACCCACCACAAGGCTGGAGAGGGCAGCCCCCTCCTCTACAGGAGCTGTGACAGGGGACACGTGCCTGGCAAAAGGGGGACCTGCACAAGCCCGTTCAAACATCAGGCCAGCTCAGCTCCAGAGTTTCCAGCACAGTGAAGCCAGCGAGGGCTGGACACACTCGGTGGGACTGAGCAGGACCTGTGTCAGGCCAGCAGCAGAGGTGAAGACTTTGATTTCCCATCAAAGGGGCACACGGTGGTAGGGCTTTGCAAGCTCAGCCTCCCCACGGCCCGTGACTCGAGCCAGGCGCTGGCCAAGGGCACAGCCAGGCCAAGCAGCCCAGTCCCCAGTGCTGCTGCTCCCCACTGAGCACCCAGGTCCTGCGGTGTGACACCCCACTGCAGTGAAATGGATCCTGGAAGAGACAGAGAGGAAAACACTCAGAACTACCACTTTTAAATGACAACCAAATAGTTGTTTGAAGGAAACATCAAGAATAAATAAAACCAGAGAGCAAAACACTTGCCAAAACTAGTCTGCCAGTGGGAGATTTTACATGTACAGTAAAAACCACACGTGGCAGCAGGTGCTTCATAGTGCTACAGACATTTAATGAATTACAATCATAAACTAAGAGTTAATATCACTGCAGTTCTTTGACTAAACATTCCCAGAGAACCCCACCGCCAGCACGAACCGGAGCAGCGACACTTTGTGAAGCCATGTTTGGTGTGACCACTCCAGCAAGCTGCAGGTGGGAGCGGGACAGCTGCATTCCGGAAGGGAGGAATCTGGCTTCAATTGGAATCTTGTCCGGTGCTTTTCAAGGACTCCTGAGAAGCAATCCAAACTGACTGCCTCAGTGGAGAGGTTTCTAGCTTTTAGCTGGCAACACCTGAGCACTCTGGCACCAGAAGGAGAAAGGCAGTTTCCAAAGGCAGCAGGACCAGTGCTCTTCCAGCTGTAACTGGAATCCCACAGGAAGACAGAACTGGATGTAGAAAAGTCTGCCATTCGGCCCAGCACCGCAATCAGTGGTGACCCAGTAACAGAATCCTGCCCATCTGCCTGTAACAAGTCTCCCCATCACTGAACAAGCAGCTCAATAAAGGATTTCAACTGATTCACTGGCTGGGGATTTCTGGGATACCCATCCAGCCGCAGCTGAGCTGAGGCTGATGTAGCTATTCAGTTAGGAGGCAAAGTGCCTCGAGATTTCCAATCCTTTATCTCCTCTTTGGAGAATTCCCAACATGTAACCAGACTGAGAAAGTTTGACCTATCTAAGGGTTAAAGGAAGTGAACACACGACAATATTTTAACCAAAACAAAGGAAAACAGAAAGGAAAATTGAAAACCTTTTAATGAACCTACAGGATTTAGTCAAATTCGCAGGCATACAAACCCGAAGTAGTTCTCTCAATCAGTCATGATCTGCATATAAAAAGAGAGGAGCTGGAGGAGTCCAGCGGGACTGAGTCCAGGAGGGGCTTCAGTTGGAGGGAGGTGGAGGGGGGATAGTGCCTGGCCCCTCCGTGGGGAGCGGTGGCCTCATCATGGGTGGCAGAGGAGCAGGAGGGGGTACACCGGGGGCTGGTGGCAACTGCGGTGGCACTGGAGGCGGTGGCACCGGTCCAGAGGGAGGCATAGGAGGCAGAGTCATGCCTCCTGGAGGAGGTGGCGGCATGGAGTCGGGCAGAGGTGGCCGTGG